GTTTGCAGGAAAAACTCAAACATGTTTTAGGGATCACATTTCCTTAGTGAATCTGCAGCTAACTAACAGAATAGTATGGATTAAAAGCTGAATTGGTTTTGACTTTCAACTGAAAATTCTATGTGTTCAACCACAAACTCATTACTACAAGATGGGGAGGGAAAAGGATTACGGTTTTCAATTAAAAAAAAAAACAAAAAAACTACAGAAGTGAACCCGTTTTTCTTTGTTTACAGTTCTCTGTGTATAAAACTATATTTTCAACCTTTTTAAATCCAACCATTACAAATACTTGCCCTTCGAAGCAAGGAATTATCCTCCGTTTCTAAAAAGTCATCATGTACTGTTGGTAGGGCAAAACAGCTGCAACTAACTATCCTAACAGCAACTGTGCTACTGTTGTGTACAGACATGCCCAGCAGATAAATAAGCCCAAGCTGCATCTCATCGTGTGTATCTCTTGATCAACAAAGACCCACAACTTCAGTCATTACAGACAGAGCAATCAAAACATTTACAGTATCACATGCCCTGTAGACTACACAGGCCGTTTCCTCACACATTACCCAATGTCTACACCATCTGGATTCTTTTTACATACAATTAGAGAATTAAACTCCCTACCAATGAGGTTTACCAAGGGAAATTTGTGACCACCTCACTTTTTCAACTTTGATGAAGAGTTAGAAGAAATAGATACATTTTTTTTAAAGTGTATGCACGTACACACACACGAACTTGCACGTATTTATTTGTTCATGTTGTTTGATGTAGCCATTGACAGAAGGCAGCGAAGTATTACAGCAGCCAGGTGTTGACCACTTGAGTGGCCAAGTTCCATTCTCTAATTATTGTTTTTAATGTTTTCTTCCCTTTTCTTGAAATAAATAAAATAGCACACGAGATAAAGAATATATAAAGCCTCACTGAACACAGGACATGGCAATCTTACCACTCAGTGCAGCAATAAGTTTGAGTAGGGGAGACTTCATGATTGAAACACAGACCTAGGATCCCTGGGCCAAGAAACTAATTACCTAAGGAATAGACAAGGCCTTTGCAGATTTGGATGTACAACAGACACAAGCACTGAAAATGAAGTGGTGAGGGGAATAAAAAATTCCATTTCATAACTGTTGCTTTAGCTTATTTTCTGCAGGCTGTAAAGCTCAATATCCAAACAAGACCCATTCCAGAAAATTTAATCAGATAAAACCTAGTCAGCTTCCTTTTCTTGACATTACATTTTAAAAATATGAATTTTAAAAATATGAATTCAAAAGAATTTAGAAAGTTTCAGTATGAACACTAGACAGCACTTCACTACTGGAAATTATTTACAAGGAAAAGAATTCCAAATATCAAAGCAGTTTAGGATTTTGTAAAGACAAACTATCTCACTACTTGAGAAGCTCAATTCTTCCAGGTATATGAGCTTCCTATAGATATCATTCATTTCAGAATGAATTTTCAGGATTTTGTAAGACTACTACTCTCCAAGTGCCTAATGCAAGAATATAACTTAATCCTTCACATGCATTACTTACATTACCAGAAAGCACCAAGGTTGACTTCCAAGACTGAGAATTGATATAATCACAAAGTAGCTAACCCAAGTGAAAGTTAAATTCACAAATTCTGTTCTCACTAGTAAAAGCAAAAATTAAGTGTCTCAACACACTTGCTTTTCAGTAGCTTAATTAGGGATTGCTAATCAATGACTCAATTGTATTGTGAACCAACCAAAACCACAGGAACCTTCCTCTAAAGCTAACAAAAACCAAAGAGGAACAATGAGGAAGAACCAGCTCCTCTCTTTGGTTGTGACAACATAAAGACCAAAAACTTTACAGCATAAGAAATACTCAGAAATTTCAGCAGTCTCTTGAGAATGCTTCTCCCCTCCACACAGCCACAACCAGCTGATGGAAATTCACAACTCCACACACCCTAGCAGCAGTCAGCTGCTTTTAGCTCTCCCTTGAAACTGCAAGACAGTTTGTAAGAAGGCCTGGAAACAGCTGTCGTCTCCACAGGTCTAAGACTGATTCAGTCAGCAAGGTTGAAAAACAAGAACTCATAATTCTTTCATTTGTTCTAGTTAAATACTATATGTACATTTCCCTTCTGCAGATAAGAGAATGTTCACTGTAGATTGCCATCCTCATACTAGCAAATATTTTCAAATACAAGTGAAAAGCATTTGATTGTTTCACTAAGCATGGTGAGGGGCAGAGGAGACACTGAGTTTAAGCGCTTCAGCAGCCAAGTGCGGCTTCCTGAAATAATTAGGATGGCACATTACACATCAGTAAACTCTCACACTCTATAAACCAGCTATAAAAAGCCTCTAGCATCAGTGTCTCAGCTGCTTCTGAATCTTTCTTCAAGCAAATACACCTTCCCTGTTCTTATTTTTATAGCTTTCCATAACATGATTGCATTTGATCATAAAAATAAAGGGATTAATCTGTATCTCTCTCCGCTGCTTCTGAGGAAACTGATCTGGGACTGCACCAAGCAGTCTCCACACTGCCTCCATGCTACCATCTTCGCTCAGAATCCTTTTTCCTTTTGATACTGTCTCATGTGAGATCAGAAAAGCCTCATCATTCTTCTTCAGAATGAAACAAAGAATGTCGCCAGTTTCTCACTAAAGAAATAAAAACTTCTCTCTTTTTTTTCCTCCCTCAAACTGAGTATACCTGTACTTGTCCACTCATCTCTTAGTTAAAAATATCCATGGCTCTCTTAAGCCATTCTGTCTCAAAAAATTGACCATTTTGGTCACAATTATGCTATAGCATACTTTTTAAAAAAGACATTAAATAAGTCAAAAACCTTTTTCCCCCTTCCTTCTTCAGTTTTCAAGTTGATTTTGTTTGAAGATTTCAGACGCATTTTTATGCTAATTGTTAACGTTCATATATACCCTATATATATATATATATATATATATATATACACCTGTATAGGGTACTTAATTCAACATTTTCACCATGACACCTTGGACTAAGGGAGCAAAAGATGGCTTTTTCAGCAAGAAAGCAAAAGCAAAAATCTCAGGGTAACAGATGAACTTGGGATCCTTTGGTTAACAACATGTTAGGAAGGAGCCTTCTGCACAGCAATCACCTTTGAGCAAATCTGTAAGTAGAAGAGATCTACATTTATGATAAAAAGCGCAGAGAATGTTTAAACTTCTTGTTTGAAGTGTGATAAGTTAAAAATGTCTACCTAAATTTCAGGGAAAAAAGAATCTACAAAGTCATTTCTTTGCAACAAGTTGATCAGTTCATCACACTGAGCAAATAATGGCATGTTTAATTATTGCGGGAATATTCTAGAAGGGCTAATGTTATATGTGACACTAAAAGGGTTTTGATTAACCAGAAATTGTTTGGTAGAGTATATATGTCGTTTGCCTTAAGTCTTTCTGATTTTCAGAGATAAACTAAACCTATCTCCGTCCCTGCCAAAGGCTGACATTATGAACTGGAGAACAGTAATCTATATTATTTTATTAGTAAGTTTTACTATAGTCAGAGCCCTGCCAAGAAGTTATCGGGACACAGGTAAGAACATACCTCATGTTTTTATTCTGTTCTTTCATATAACACTGATGACTGCATCTTAGCATGCATGGTTATTTAGTATTGTTTTATCACTGCTAGTTCTACACTAGAGTCTTCTTGTAAGTGAAAGGTATGCAACAGAACTGTAGCTGTATAATTCCAGCTCTGTGATCAGCCTTAAAAATATCACTTCCTAATGTCTTGAGAGTCCATGAGCTGCATGATACAGGCTAGTCCATGCAAAGAGGATGCCCACTAAAAGGCAATTTAATCTGTAGGAGTGTGGTTATTCCACTAAATTTCAGGTACTCCAAAACCTGTTGAAGCAAAGACTGCAAGTTGTTCTAGCATCCATACATAGTCCATGGGAGAAAGACATTTAAGTAAAGAAGAGGATGTGACATCCAGCTAGTTATTCAGTGTAGCTGTGTCAGGAAATTGCTCTTTATTATTCTTTGGAGAAGTCTTACTCTCCACTAACCGCTGAAGTAGCCTATGATGACTGCATTTGGCACTGAGTTTTAAGTCCCAAAAAAGAGAAAACTGAAATCCTCCCACAGTGTGCAGGTCAAATGAGTCTTTCACATTGTATATTTCTATCACTGGTCAAATGTTCTCATCTTCAGAACTTTCAAATGCACTAACAACTGCTGTTTTTCCTATTTATCTTTAATCATCATTCCAACTGACATTTCCTCATTACCTAGGGAAACTGGGTTAACTCTTAGTTTTTGCCTGATTCTTTTATACTGCTCTCCGAACTACTGACATGGGTGTGAGATAGAACCATCCTGATTAGGGAAGATGCTCCTAATTTCAAAATTACTCTGAAAGTATTCTCTAGGAAACAAGAAACTCAAGAAACAATAGGATTTAGGCTTGGCCATTAATAAAAGATCCACTGGCAAAGGAAAATATTTGCATATAATCTTCAGATAAATTGGACACATTCGTGTTCCACAGGGCCAGTTAATAGAGAAGGATGAAGTTCTGTGATTTTTTTGTTCATCAAGGTAGTCTTCAATTTACTGTGTATTTTCTACGCAGGGAAGCTTTCACCTGCAGCCAAATGATCATCAAGTACACTTTTAAATAGCTAAGACAAGTCAACAAATGGTTTCTAAGATGTTTATTTAATCATGTGATGTGTACCATCATAGCTGAACACCTAGGTTTGATTGTATCTCCCTTCTGCAAAGCATGAAATAGGCAGGGAAATTACATTGTAGCTCAAAAACAAATTGTTTCCCACCTTCAAGTCAAATAGATAGCATTGCCTTATGCCCTCCACCTTAGTAATAGTACTACTGGCACTGCATTCTGTTTTTCTGAAACTCCTGTATATTAAAAAAAAAAAAGTATTTGATGAAGCATTTGAAACATATTGTATTCAAACGCTAATTATCTTGTTTTTCAGAGGAAAAAAACAGCATCAGCCAACGGTTTTCTCAGCTGCAAGAGAACAATTTTAAAGCCATGTAAGTTGTCTGGGTAAAGAATCTACTTGCAAATTTGCTGCCTGTGAACATCCCTATGGCATTTTGTGTCATTTGGAGATGAGCACGCACTGCAAGTTGCACACTCCCTGTTCCACAAGCCTGAGCGAATTGGTGATAGAAGCTCTCTTACTGTCTCGTGCAAAAAGTAATACAGTTATTTTTATTCTTTAGATAGAAGCATTCTTAATGATCTCCATTCTTCTTATAGAGCCATGATCATGTTTGCGCAGTACGTGCAAGGAAACACATTTGGCCAAGTGGTTAAAATGGCTGAAGCTGTAACAGACTTTGCCAAAAGGTGCACTGATGTAGACAGAGACAATCCAAACTGTCAGAAGCCTTTGGTAAGCAAGCTTGTACTTTTAATGCAGTACAGATTTTCAGAAGTGACATAATTTCAGGGTACTGGTATGCATTTTTCCAGCAGGAGTAAGATATTAGGAGACATGGTTTACTTGTGTGTGAATGTTTGCTCTTATTGACTCTTTCCTTCTCCATGCTCCCACCTAAAAGACATCTCAAGATGAGCAAAGGATGACAAAGTCCTTCATAGAAAATAACACAGTAGCTTTTGAAATCCTTGACCTCTTAAAACGTTTGTAAACTTGTGCTTTTATGTTTATCATAACAGAACTCAGTAGAAGTCAAATTAGATATTTCTAGCAACTATGATGCTCATAGGAGCTTTCTCCACTCCATTAACTCACATTGCTAGTATTCAGTGGAGTCCACTTCAATGCACTGTCAGAGATCAGCAGATTGAATCATGGAAAATGGATATCAGTCTGTTACAACTCTTATATTTGTTAAGCAAGGGGATGACGCAAATCCTGAATTAAAACAATTCCCAGCTGAAGCATGACTGACAGCAAACCTGAGCATTGCTATGTGATGAACAAGGAACCTGAGAACTGTTGTTACACAAACCTGAGACTTGTCACTACACACTGATTTTAATTAGAAAAGAATATGGATCCCATTGAGATATACAAATCAAACAATCATCTTGACTCTAATCAAGAAATGAGGGTTTGAATGTTTTCAGTTCAGTGGAAGCTGAACAATATGTTTGAAAACTGTCTCATAATAAGTCTATCTTGGCATAATAGTAGGTACCAGAAATTGACATATGTTTTAGAAGTCACTCTGACGCTGCAGGCAAAGCAGCGGTAGTAAAGAGAGAAACTATACATTTACACAAATTAGGGCTTTTTGGGTTAAAAAGTCTCCTCAGAAAACTCATGGGGGTGAAATAGAATCCTCACACACATTAGCTTTTTTTCTAATTTTTCACAGGACAGGATCTTCCTCAACACTATATGCCAGGAGGACAATCTTCCTGGATTTACTGACTGCTGTGCTAAAAAGGACCCCGAAAGAAATGATTGCTTCCTCTCCCTTAAAAATTCATCAAAAGGATTCATTTCTCCTTTTGAAAGGCCAAATGCTGAAGCTGCCTGCAAAAATTATTCAGAGCATCGCCATTCATTACCAGGATAGTAAGTAAATGACTCATAGATTTGTTGTCTGCATATAGTGGTTACGAGCCTTGAGACCACAAATGCATTATCAACCAAAAAGTTCAATGAGACTTGCTGTAGAGCCATCCTCTTTTTTTCTTCCTAATGATAAATATTTGAATAATTCATCCAGGTCTATTTCTCATCATGTGAAACCTGTTCTACCAAAGCCTACTTTGAATATAGGTCCAAACAAATAAAAAATAAAACAATCTGATATATCTCACTGTAGTTTAAATAAAGCGCTCACCTGAAATACTAGGGATTTGTCTTTAGTCCTTAAAAGCCAAGCAGATGTTCCGCTGCCTCTAGACCAGAACTGGAAGGATCTCAGCCTTTAATTTCCAGAAAAATGTCAGAATTCTTCCAAGACACACTGCATCATACAGCTTGTTGCCTTGCTACAATACCACTGCAGCTCCCTACGTTTCAAGGCTTAATCTGATATTAAAAACATTTATCTCTGTTTTAGTTTTATCTATGAGGTTTCCAGAAGGCATCCTTTCCTCTATGCCCCTACAATCCTTTCTGTTGCTATCCATTATGATGAGATGATGAAGGACTGCTGCAGAAGCACTGAAGACTCCACTCATAACCTGGAGGAATGCTTTCGGAGACAGGTATTACAAAGTGAGGTTTGGTTTTGTAGCATGGGACCAGTGGCTTTCCCATAACAAAACAAATGCTCAAACAGAGCTATTGATTATTTCTTTTTCAGCCTCTGCATCTGATTTTAGAATTCACCCTACTAAGGACAGGGTGAAATATGACTTGAATGCTACTTAACTACTTAAATCAGTAGTTTTACCACAAAGCATTTTCTTGGCTTTCTTCCATTTTCACAGTCTGTACTGTCTTTCTACTAGGCCCCAAAGGTGGTGAAGCCCATCAGAGAAGATGGCCTGAGGCAGGAACACACATGTGGAATCCTGAAGAAGTTTGGAGAACGGACCATAAAGGCTCTGTGAGTCTTCCTGATGCTCACAAAACAAGGCTTTGGCTTCTTTGCTTCAGCAGTAGACTGGCCACACTCATTGTTAAGATGCAATATGTTGCTTGTTCCAGGGCTTCCTGGCTGCTTCACTGGAGTCCCTTAAGCATACGCATTTTGAAATACATTGTGGATGTCATATGTCAGCTGAAAGCAGATCTGCACCTGCATGCAATACAATGGATGTGAATATTGCAATATCGTCTTTCTGTGCAGGCCAGCAGTAGCACCTAACGAGGCAAATGGACTAGCACAAATTGATGCATGACAGTAGTCACTGTTTTCTCTTGGTGATTTAATGTTTACGAGCCAAATACAGTTCAGCTCATATAAGACACAAGATTGTTATTGTAATTTCATATTCACCTACCACATTTCTGTTTTCTCACACTAAATTTCACTGGAGATCCTAAGATAACTCTGAATATCTCAGCCTTTGGCTTCAATTGGCATTTTTTTTTTATCAATATCAGTGACAGCAGTAACAGGCCATTTCTAACCAGTTTGCATACAGCCCTCTACAGACAAGTAATGGAAGCTATCACAGTTTCACACTGAGAATATTAGCAATAACTCTTTTTCTTCATTTTAGGAAACTTGTGCAGATAAGCCAGAAATTCCCTAAAGCTGATTTTTTTACTGTTACCAAACTTGTGTCGGATATTGCAAACATGCACAAAGACTGCTGTCGTGGAGACATGCTGGAATGTATGCGTGATAGGGTAAAACATTTAATATTTATGTACATTTGCAGAAATTATATGCCTTTTCTTCTTGTTTTCAGATTTTTTTTCCTTCTGTGTTGTACTGTTTTCTCCGGAGATTAATTTTTCAGACTAAAAACATGGTTGATTATCCCAGTTTACTTTTTTCTGTCATGAAGTCTTAAAAAAAGTCAGCAAATCAACTTTGTGACTAAAACGGTCTAATTCTGTTTTAGGGAATCCTGTTGCAGCTTCTAGCTGTGCCATATATTTTCTGTTCAGTTTTCAGCAAAACATGTATCTGCCTTTCCTCTGTTCTCTCTGCTTTTCTAACGTATCAAACCCATCTATCTCACTACTTGTCTGTGATGCCTAGCTAGATAACTAACTTCTCTGTTTAGGTGGTTATCTGGAACCTATCAAATGGAAAGCAAAAGGCTTCAGCAGGTAGAGTAACATGACTTCTGTCCTGTTCTGCCAGATGACTACTGTACAGCAGTCTGTACAGCTGACTGCTTTCAGCTCCTTCTCCCCTTTGAGTGTCCCCTTCTCTGGCTGTAAAATGGGGATAACAATGCTAATAAAGAAAATTAAAAATTAAAAAAAGACCAAAATCTGATTAAACTTCCTTTGTTTGCTTTTCAGGAAGAAATTCTACACTATGTCTGCACAAACCAAGACATTATATCAAGTAAAATTAAGAAGTGCTGTGAAAAGCCACTGCTCCAAAGAACTGAATGCATTGTTAATGCAGAAAATGATGACAAACCTGCAAACTTATCTCCCCAGGTTAGGGAGTTTATAGAAGACAAAGGAATATGTGAACGCTTTGCTCAGGAAAAAGATACCCACTTAGCCAGGTAACATGCATCTTCCTCCAGTCTTCAATTTTGCTGTTCTACTACTTGAGTTACAAGATGGCAGTTTGAAAGATAAAGATCAGCTCATTTAGCCTTGGATTTGTCTGCACTGTGAGCATGTGGGCATGTAGGAACTGCACAAGGTTATCTTCATAAAAAACCAACCTTAGAGGGTATGGAATGAGAACAAATGCTGAACAAGACACAATTATTTCAGAGAAAACTGAAGAAATGCATGTGAAATTTAGGTACTATCAGTTCTGATCTTAGGCTCAAAATCTAGCTTTGATACACTCTTACATGGGAATAAAAACACATACCTAAATGATGCTCATGTCTTGATTCAACAGGTTTGATCCATTTCTTTTCTAGACATGTTCCTTTGTCTGACAAAGCCCTGACCCCACCTGTAGCAAATTTAGGAAAAAAAAAAAAAAAAGCCACAAGCTGCAACAGAAACAGTATCAAGTCATAAATAAAGATAATTAATTTACTTTAAATGACATCCATCACTTCCATTTACGAACAGTGCAGCTAAGAGATTGAGCACAATGCTACGTAGAGGGACTGCTTCTAGGACAACTAATCTTTTCAAGATCTTTTGAGAAATGGCTCTGTTACTGGAAATTATTTCATTTAGATAGGAAGAGCTTAATGAGTCATGTTCTGTTCAAGTTGAATTCTGGGCTGTGATTTTGTGAAATTCTCCCCATTACATGGAAGGTCAGATGAAAGCAACCCAAAAGCATCCCTATTGTCCTTACCATCCCCAATCTCCTGAAAGCCATGGTTTTGTCTTATTGCTAATTCACAATGCATACATATTGCAGGTTTCTTTATGAGTATTCCAGAAGACATCCTGAATTTTCTGCTCAAATGCTTTTAAGAATAGGTAAAGGATACGAGGACCTACTGGATGAGTGCTGCAAAACTGGCTCTCCAGACAACTGCTGCAGCAGAGGGGTAAGTGCCTTCTATAATACATGGATGAATTCAGGCACACAACCACACAGCTTGTTCTGGCTAAATAGTGCTTCTGTGGGTATCAGAGCTACTGGGGATGGGACAGGAAGAAACCTTCTCTTGGTGTGCGTGTCTGATTTCCGGTATCCAGCCTCCTCCTCTCTCTGTGGATAATTTGCAAGAAGCTGCTGCTGCTTCTATAATGATTTAACATGGATAGATAGAGATGCCAGTGGGAGGGATGGAGACAGCATTTCTGTGAGCCCCACTCTCTGTTAGGCTCCCCTGCAGCACCACTTGCCCACTTGAAAATTGAAAAGGCCTTACTCAGAGGGTGGTGAGGCACTGGCACAGGCTGCCCAGAGACCTGTGGATGCCCCATTCCTGGAGGTGTTCAAAGCCAGGTTGGATGGGGGCCTGGGCAGCCTGGTCTCGTGGGTGGCAACCAGCCCATGGCAGGGAATTGGAACTGGGTGGGCTTTAATGTCCCTTCCAAGCCAGTCTCAGATATAGACACCTGCATTGCATACGTCTGAAGCTCGGAGCAACTCTGTCTCAAACCTAGCCCTCCATTACTTATAGAATTAATATTTAAAGATGATTGAAGTGGACTTCTGTCACATTCAGTCAGTTTAGAGGTTTTAGACGGGTTTCTAATGAAGTTAAAACTTAGTGGTGCATTTCAGGTGAGAGGAAGCTATGGAGATCAAGGCCTCATCATAAGGCAATAGGACATTCTGCATTCCCACTGATAAAGTGATTCCTCAAATTAATTCTGTTTCCTCAGGAAGAAGAACTGAAGAAACACATTTATGAAACTGAAAGTGTGATGAAAACAAGCTGTGACATTTACAAGGAGAAAGGAGATTACTATTTCCAAAACGAGTATTTATCTTTTGTTTTTAAAACATGTTTCTGCTTACCTGATGCCTGTACCAGATGGGAACAATGTAGGCTAGAATTAATTCATAGATGAGAAAAAGGCTGGGCTAAAAGACATCATCTGAATGTTTGGTCCAATAAGTTGTAAGATTTTCTTTCCTTCTAACTTCCAAGACAAAGTTTTCTCCTCACCAGGCTTCTGAGGCAGTGAAATGACAACCTGTTCAATCTCTCATTCACTTTTGCTATGGATTGGTGTTTTTTGTTTTTGCTTTGCTTTATAACTGCATTTTGAGCTGTGAGATGTAACTTAAGAGTCATTAATTTGGCTAAAAGGCCATTTCTGCACCTTCTGCAAAAGACCTTTCTCTAATTCCATCAGCAAATGCAAATACTAACAACTGTAACAAAAAATTAACTACAGTAGACTGGCTTAGCTGTGTGCTGTGCTTCAATGCAACATGCAGGCACAAGCCTCCTGCAGGAATTCTGGCCTTGATTTGCAATGTTAATGAGCACATGCCTAACAAAGTATGTAAGTAATTTCAAATCTATAAACTGCTTGCATGAAGTTAGGCTTCTGCTGTCTTTGTCTGGGGAGAAAGATAAAGAGAGCTTTTTGTACTCTTGGGCATGTTCGATCTTTAAAAGACTTCTGGAACTAGAGGTTTCCAACAAATCCAGTATGCTACTTCTGCCTAGTGTACCAGTTTTTATGGCTCCCCCAGCCACCAGAACTAATAAGCACAGTTTTTAAGTAGGAAAAAAAAAATCAACTTTTTTGAGCTTATCTCCTGCTGAGATCAGCTCTGCCAAGAAGTCACTCGAGTTCAGTTTTGCTTCTAAACAAGCTCCCTGCACTCCCAGGAAAGTGAACAAAGCAGGAAAAATATACATACCATTTCATAAGAGAGCCTACCAAAATATAAACAGCAACATTAGCATTAATTTTATTTAGCCTGGTAGGAGACTAGTCAGAAAAAAGGAGAGATCTCACAGGGAGCATGCTTATACTTGCATACATGAGTCTGTAAACACCAGGCTGAGTTCTGCCTTAGTAGGAGTGAGTGTTCTGCTGTGGGATTTGGCTGGAGCCTTACACAGTTGAAGGCAGTGGCTTGCTCACTGTTAGCTGCTTGAATGTAAGCACCAATATCAAAGAAATTATCATTTCAGGCTTCTCCTGAGCTTCACCAAGAAGATGCCTCAGCTAACATCTGCAGAGCTGATAAAATTCACCAAGCAAATGACTACAATTGGCTCCAAATGCTGCCAGTTGAGCCAGGACAAGCTATTGCCTTGTGCTGAGGAAAATGTAAGTTTGGTGTTTTTTTTGTTTCCTTACTAGTCTTAGTCCTATTTTTTTTCCTGAAGCTCTGTGTCAATTCCTACTACAAGCAAAGTCCAATAGTTTGGAGTACTAGCAAATGAGCAAAATGCTCAGTGAGGTATTAAGCTGCCCTGAAGAGGTACTTCCACATACACACCTGCAGTAAGCATAACACTGTTACTGAAGTCAATGTTTGAATTACTCTCTGTGAGCATGCACTGCAAGCAATCCATTTAGCAGAATGAATTCAGGAAAAACATTCAGCAGAAAAAATCCCTTTTATCTTACAGACAAAGCTTAATTTAAATCTCAGTTATTATTTATAACTTTACTAAAAGCAGCATCTATATCAGGGATTTTTTAAAATAAGGGAATAACATGAAATTGTGTTTTTTACCTCTTCCTGTAAAGCTGGATCTTGTGCTTGGAGAAATATGTAGAAGACACCTGACCAATCCGATAAACCCTGCTGTTTGCCACTGCTGTAGTAGCTCCTATGCTCTCAGGAGGCCATGCATGGGGAAACTAGAAATCGATGAGCATTATGTGCCTTTATCATTAACACCTGATCTGTTCACTTTCCACGAAGACTTGTGTACAACTGAAGAAGAAAAGTTACAGCACAAGAAACAGGAGTAAGGCTCACCTCTTTCACTCTCTTACCTGTGTTCCTTATTTTTACCCTGGCAATGCTTACCTTTCCCTTGTCCACTGTACTTGTTTGCCTTCTATAAAATGCCTTGGAAAGCAGCCATGTCCAGCCTCAGCAGCGCACCTACCTAACTGCTTTTGTTTCTTCTTATCTTTATCCTGGTTTCTTTTGCAGTCTGGTTGAACCTGTATTTATCTGCCTTTAATTAGAGGAAAGTCATTTTTCAGAGGTGGGTAGCTGTACTGGTATGTACAGCACCAGATAGGAAGCAGTAAGTGCCCAAAGTTAGTTCCTCACACTGTCCTCTACAGAAACTGTGAAAGTCATATCATAAAAACATACCAGAAGAACAAGGAAGCTAATGCATGACCTTTATGGTTTAACTGAAGCTTGTCTCTCAGTGAGACAGCCTACGTATTTATCCAAAACCCAATCACTCCTTTGATCTCTGGATGCTTGTTTGCCTTTGTCAGAGAGAACTGTCACGTTGGACCTCCCACTACAAGGAAAAACAAGCTATCTTGGATAACTCATGCTATATTAAACTTATATTATCTAGGACACTCTTGAGTGGTAACAACACAAATCAACTGTATAATTTGTTCAGGGATATTAGCGGTGGAACAACTTCAAAAAAAAGCACTACTATTTTATTTCACAGGAGAATAGGGAGATGCTCCCCACTGCAAATACCTGCCTGGTTGTTTCATAAAGATGAAAAAAGCTATAGAAAGCAAGTGGATAATAAGAAAACAAAGATCTTACTGGACTAGTGATTGACAAGTGCTTCTTAAGATGCGTGCTCACCTTCCAGCTTCACAGGACTTTGCTTCCCTTGCAGAATGCTCATCAACCTCATCAAATACAAGCCCCAGATCACACAGGAGCAGTTGACTTCCATCACCGTGGCTTTTACTGCCATGAGGGAACAGTGCTGCAAAGAAGAGAATCGTGAGGCATGTTTTGTGAAAGAGGTATTTGTTCCACTTTCAACTGTATGTTCTTAATCAAAATGAAAGCACTTAAGTGTAAATTTCTCCATTAAGCAACAAAAAACAAAGTCTGTTTTTGCAATTTGCAACAATTCCTTTGGTTACTTTTCCAAAGATCTTTCTCTAGCTAACAGTACTTGACTGAATTTCCTTTTAAAACAAGTTCCTTTGCAATAGGGAGGGAAAGAACATTCAAAATTTTGTCAAGGTATTTCCTGTATTTATTTCTCCACATCTGCTTTTCTCTCACCCTTCCCGTGTTATTTTAGCTTTTTGAACTTCATACTACAGAGCTACTTAAATTTTTCTCTACCTTTGAGTACACTTGATTTTCCTTATTTCTCATCTCTCTCCAATGTATTCCTTAACTGAAGTTTAAGAAGCTTTCCACGACCCTTGAGAAATGTTCAGCTCTGCTTTACCCAGCCTATCTACAAAGAACCACACTACTAGCTCTTTATCATAAAACTACTTCAGTGTTTTTCCAACAAATACAAAACCAGCTAAGACAATCTGAGCTGATCAGCGGAAGTATCATACATACATGTGTTTGTACACAACCCGCAAAGATATAAAACGTTAAGGAATTGACTTACTGATGCACACACATTATTTTTCTTGCAAGTACGTTATCTTAAAGAGTGGTCAGGTGCTGACACAAGCTGCATGACAATGGGGTCACTGTCCCTGGAGGTGTTCAAGAAACATTTGAATGTTGTACTGAGGGACATGGTTCAGTGGGAAATGTTGGTGGACGGTTGGACTGGATGATCTTAGAGGTCTTTTCTAACCTTGGTGATTCTGTGATTCCACGATCCTTCTGATTTTATTGCTTATAGTTGTTTTGCTTCTTTCAGGGTCCAGAACTTATAAAAAGAAGTGAAAAACTGCTGTCAGCCTAAGGAGCTCATTTAGCATATTGGAAGATATTGGTTGAATGCTATGTAGTTGCACAAATTAAATACTAAGCGTACCTTTTCTAAATATTCATGAAGTATAAACAGGAGAATATGAGTTATCATAGTGGAGAATACTGTGCTGTGGTTCTTTACCTACAAACCCAATGAAGTCAGTACAATTTTCACCAGCTATAGTTCTGCCAATGCCTGATTTTTTTCCACCGTCAACAAGGTAAAGAGGTGCCTCCAGTAAAACATCACTTTCTGAGAAAAATCTGACAAGCTATGAAACTGTAAACGCAGTCTGCCTTCAGATCTGAGCCTAACAGAAATTTATATAAGTGTATGAATTTCATTCAGATGTGGGAGAAATTTCTGTGATAACTTAATGTGTAGCTCATATGCCCTTGATTCAAAACGATCATGAACACGTAAAATTTAAACCAAAGCAAATAATTTAAACCCACTTGAATCCAAAAATAAGGTGCAAGACAAAAGGTAACTGGATGGAAAATGGGGTTTTAAATGTGTCCATAATCTTATGCTACAGAACATTATTTTTCTTGTATGAAATGGTCATAGAAAAAAGTATTCTAATCTGGCTTCTTATGAATCATAAAGAAAAACAAGATTGAAAAAATCTGACCATAACAACTTTTAAAATATTTCTGAATCACCAAATATTTTTGGATATTTTAATAGAACTGTCTTTGAAATACAAAACATTCATTCACTAATAAGGGCTGCAGTAGGGAACAGTAAAATTGCCTTTAAGCACAGAAAGATTATCTTGGTCATCCCAAGCAGAACAAGGAAGAAGATAGATGAGCAAAATGTCATTAAGATGAAATGTGACACTTTTGGTCAGCAGGCAAACATTTAGAGAAAGCATTAGAAGGCTGCAGAATTTGAAGTATATAATAAGAGATAATTTTTCAGAGTCAAATTGAAGAGGTTGACCAAATGAAGCCTTCTCATAATCCATCTTGTGTGTATTGCCAGGCAACATTTTCATTAATGATATAGTGAAAGGAAAAACTATTCATTAAATGTGTGACAGACAGTGGACAGAGACTGTTGCAGATCTCACTGCAGCATTTCTGATGTCAAAATCATCTTGGCATATTACAGAAATAGCCTAGGAAAACACCAGCTGTGTTCTGTGAAAACAAATTAAACATTTGACATAAGTATAACTAAGCAACTGCAGTAGTACAGTACAGGAAAAATATTCATTACAGCGTTGAATGAAAAACAATGCAGTTACAACAAATCACAAACTGATCAAGAGTCACCGATATTTTGCTGCTAAGTGAAGCCTAGCATCATGCTTGAATGCTGGTGGTACAAACACAATACTAACTGATAAAACAGAAGAACGAGATACATCAAATATGCATCACGGTTTTGTTTTTCTCACCTTTCATCAGGACTTTGCTGAAGTACTTGAAAAAATCTGGGGTCTCAGTTGCAAACAGAATTTCACTGAAAAGAAAGCAACAGTTAACAGTCAAAGTTACATTAAAAAAAAAAAAAGGGAAAATGAGACTAGATTGGGATTGTGCGGTTTAGTAAGAAAGGTTTTAAGAACATGTGAGTCTTCACCTGTTGAAAAAAGCAGGTTGCAGGACAAAGACAGCCAGTCAGCACCTAGCAGGAAAAACAAAGCACTGAAATCAATGGTCTGGGAACAGTAGGGAGCTTCAAAAGAGAGAGCACACACTACCCAAGATCCAGTGATGTTTTCATACAGAAAAATAAACAAAGAGATCATCAAAGAGATCATCAGCACAGTTTTCTCAGGATTTAATGTTCTAATGTACATCACTCTTCCAGAATCTGGGGGTTGGGTTTTGGCGGTGTTTTTGAAAAAAAAAAATTATCTTTCTTCCTCAAAGTCCAGTGATGACTTGAGGTTTTTCTCACTGGGTTGTTTAGTAGCAGCAAAATTATATAGTATTTTTTACTCTAGTATCTTCTTCATTATGTCTTAGGACTTGAATTTTTTTGTTCATCTTTGAATTTTTTCATTACTGCTACCTTGAGTTTGGAATAACACTTTGGAATAAAATCTTCCTCTGTTCTTGTCAGCATTTGTCAGAAACAGTTCATTTAAGCGACCGCAGTATTCACACAACTCACACCAGTGTAACAGAGCAGATTTATTTCACTAGTGCTTTAAATCCGGCAACCTACATTTGTATTTGTGCATTGTTAGTTTTCCAGTACCATTTAGTCCTAATTCAACAAGACAAGTGAATTCAACGGGATCCAAGTGTTTAATATCAGACGATGGCAAAAAATGACTCAATTTAGGAACACACAGGATTGGACAATCTGCTTTGCAAACACTTTTCCACATGCTCAGTGCACTGGCACTATCTTTCTTTCTAGTTTTTCAAATCTCAGACCAAAGAATTATGACTGTACCACGCTCCATTACTTTCATACTGCACATTCATACAACCACAAGCATTTACCAAGTGGAGCACAACAGAAATAGGCTACCTACACAAAAATACCTTAAATACATCTTTCTGGTTAAAACAATGAGAAGATGCAGCAAGGCAGCAGACAGCCCTACAGCACTTGCAGTTTTTTGAGTGCATGCTAGATTTTCTCCCTGCTCATAAGTTTGAGCTATCTGCATATTGTTCTGTGTTTCAGTTCTGATTTGCTCCTTAGAGTAATTTAGGCAGAACAAAGCAAGAAATACAATCCGATATGAGTCTGTTCCCATACTTTAGCATAGTTTCTAGTGTCTCAGTATGGCCAGCTGTTGCCAAAATATACCTGTCTGCAGCTGAACAAAAAATGACAGTGCTTGATTTGGTTCAAGCTGACAACATCTTGGCTTTGGACAAGAACAAGACATGACCATTGACTAACTACTTAAACTTCACTGAAATTTGACCTTACAAGCCCAACCTGTAATGTTTCATGGTGAGTTTCCTATCTCCTAAACACTTGGCCAATCAATGTATGAATGGTTCACCTGTGAAATTTCAGAGACATTTGCATGCATCAATGAACTGACATTGGCACACCCAAGGCAACTGTTACAAATGCCATGCATCTTGCTTGACTACCGAATTGTTTTTATTTCTCCCCTCTGCGCTCCCATGCCCACAATAATTTCCTCTGTAAGATTATAATAGATTGCACATTAAAATAAGCACCTGCCCCAAGCAAAATAGTTTAATTAGCACAATGACTTCTCATTTTTTAGTTACCATTCAAGTAGTGTCACCTCACAGGGAGTACAGCTTTTCACACTTGATTTATTCCACGTGATTTCTAGATATCATTTTCTGTAACCAATTCCCTCCCTCTCAGCACATACATCCTGTTATGTGCAGAAGCCAAACACACTGCTGGTAGAAAACACAGACATCACATTAAAAAGAAGGTACTTCAGGAGGGCGCTTAATTGTGCACATTTTATTTACATCTCTACAATTTGAATTTTACTATTCAGCACGATTGAACCACATAGGATCTGATAGAGGAATGCTGTACACTGTGCAACTGTCAGACTGTCCAAAAACTGCATCTGCAGAAGGATGCCAACCCCATCCTGTAAGAGTTTTGATGTCAGCCTCTCACTAAACACTTTTCCTTTCCTTCTTCAAATAGGAAACAGAGAAAGTAACATGGAATAATACGTCTCAATGAAAACATGGGATGCCTTCTAGCACCCAGTCAAGCAAATGCCACAATACTTTGTGAGGATTCTTTGCAGCTTAAAATAAGTGTCAGAGATACTTTTGCTCATACAGTTAAGAGCTGAGTAGCCATGAAGATGGTGGACTTTGAATTTATATTCTTCAAACTTTGACTCAAAGGTTATATGAGTTACTTACCTACCAATTGGAAGCCACTAGGCTTTCAGGTCTCTCTTATGTAGGTATTTTTGTAAGCTATGTGAAATGCCTAACTGCAATCTTAGATACATAAATACCTTTTGCCACTTAACTCTACAGAAAAGCTTCCTCCTAATAAAATCTATCATTTTTTCTAACAGAAGGAAAGTCATATACTTTCTTTTCTTATTTTTGGCACGATTAGCACACTGGTTATTGCAACATTTTCCTGTATACCAGACTCTTGGTAATGGTTTGGAAATTAGAAGATTTTAAAGCCTTTGCTTTTCAGAACAGGACTTTTCCCAATCTGAAGTTTCAAGTTAGATTCAGACTTTGTCTTTTGGATGATTTAGTCCATCTTCTTAGGTGGTCCCCAACTTGCATTCCAGAGCCATAGTGGAGTGTGTACAGTTTCAGTTGCATAATTGTCAAAAGAAGCACTTTGCACACCTTTGTGCTCTAAGTGCTCTTCAGTGATGGCACATTCAAGAAAACACAGACTTTCCTTTGCCAAAGGCAGTGGGTGGTAGTTGCAATATGCCAAATCACATCAAACAGTAGTCTCTGTTTTTTTAAAAGTTCGATTTTGAAGGTGCTGGCATATCACACGCTTCTCTTTAAGGTATCTGAGAGAGAGAAAGAGAGGGAAAGGAGAAGAGAGAAAGAGAAATAGTGTGTTTAATCACACAGAATCCTTTAGAAAACATTTTTAACCTGAACTTGAACATTCTAGTTGAATGGGTAAAAAAAGTTGCAGTGAAAGCCATTCTAACAGAAAATGGCAATAGCTTGTATTCATTTATTTTTTTTCCTCTGTTCCTGGCTATTTTTATTCAAAATGATTTGATGGACATTAGTTAGCAGATTCACAGCTAGTTTAGATTCACATTGGTTTTGACCTCATGGTTTCAGAGCCACTGGTGTGGCTTTAATCTCCAGCTGTTGTGAAAACTGAGCTACCATCAAAACCACTCATGCCATTTTTCAGAAATTAAGTTCTAAAGGATATTCTTCTGCATCTGGAGTTCTGCATCTGTCTAAATTGAATGCAGTGACACTTAAATAGTACCACAATATTTACTGCATTTACACATTCCAGGGAAATACACAGCAGCAAGTAGAAACTGAAGTACCAGTCTAAGGCTCACAAGACATCCAAATCACAACAGAAGTGACCCTGGGGCTCCCAGTTTTATGAAAAAACTCCAACCTTGTATAAGTGGTCTGGAATTTACTCTGGTATCTTCCACAGCAACAGCTCACTTAGGGATGCAGGATACAGAAACAATTGCAATTCCCACAAAGTTCAGTGTAAGCAGTAACTGCACCCTGATACATAAATGCATTAACCTACTGAGCCAAACTATAACTGTAAGAATTCTAATGGACTGAAAGTGATCCCCCCAGATTTCATTTCTATTTACTTTGCAATTGTCTGTTGAATCTCCTGTTCTTCTTCTTTGTTTATTCTGTGCAGAATTGATTCCAAAAAGGGGAGATGAAATTGAATATATTGAGCAACCTATCAAGAAAATGAAGAGAAATGCTCATTAGTGACTATGTTAACTGGGAAAAATACTGTTAACTGTTAGAATGATGATATACATACATCGCTGCTGACCTCTTCCACATCCCTGTCCATGAGAAAAAACTTGGCAACCTTCTCTGATGGCCCCTGCAGGAGTCTGTGCAGCAAGGGAATGTCTCCACTTCTCAGCTGCTTCTTTTCTGAGATTTAAAAGCAATGTGCTGATACATACAATATACAATAGTTCTTTTAAGTACTAGATGCATTTGGAAGTCTTGTTTCTTGGCAAAGTTTCTATCTTTGCCTGATGTGCAATTATTATGGATATAACAAGTCTCTAATGCATATTCTCAGGAAGATGTGGCACCTACATTTATACTACCATATGCCAGTGTTGCAAAAATGCAACACAAAGGAGTTGCAGTTTAGGTAATCAAGTACATGTTTAAGAGATTAGTTCTAGGCCTGACAATGCAGCTGTAACTCACTGAAACAAAATTCACTTCATAATTTTCAAACATCCTTTCAAACTCACATTTTGATATTTAAGGTACATTTCCCTTAGTTCTCCCATTCTCTCAAGTATTATTTTTAACAAAAAAAAATATATATATATATTTTCAAGAAGAAATAGAATCGCAATGCATTGCGAAAGTGGGCATTTTCTATTAAAACTGAATACTTTGAACTAGACATCTGGGGGATCCAAGACTATGTCTCAAAATTGTGAAGTCCAAATGAAGTGCGTTTAGTCTGGTTTTGACAGGTTAGCATTTCAAAGCTGAGCTGGGTATCTTCCAGCACTCCCTAAAACCTTTATATCCCCTTTTCCAATTAAAATATTCCATAATACTGCCACATGGAAACTGGCATCCCAAGACTGCCATGTGGTCATCCAGAACAGAAGTAACAGCAGAAGAGCATCTCAAGTAGATGTCAATTACAGGAAAAGCTGAGGCTTGTTTAATGGAAGCAGCCATACTCACAGCACTCAAAGCACCCAGAACACAATTATTCAGGTTTTCCTCTCCATCAGAGAGGCACACATATCTACGGGGTCCCAGAAAAGCAAAAATGCTGCACTGTGTTTCGGCAGTGTGTGCAAGGACAGATGCCTGTGATGAATGCTGTCACTCCAAGGTAAGCAGTCTCCCCCATGTACACAGAAGATAAATAGAAATGAAATGACCCCACAATGATATCTGGCTTACCTCCAGACACATGGATAATATAAAGTGCAAATTCATGGGGACTGTTTTCTATCTGTAAACACAAAACCAAAACACTATTCAGACTGACTGATATGTTTCCTGAGCATTTCATCAGCAGCAGATAAGCTACGTGCTTCTCAACTCAATGTTAAACCAAAACCCACTAACTAGGACTTTGTTAGAAGTTAGAAGACACTTTTTGTTTGGATAAGATTCAAAGCTGCGCTGCCATTACCTTTGTCCTTCTACTCCAGTGCCTTATGATTTCCAATACTACCATATTGCCTAAAGGAGCAACACACACCTTCTTAGACAAAAAAGTGATCTTACTGGAGTTTCCTTTCAGTATCCATAACTATCTCATAAAGTTTTCTTTTCAGATGATAATCGGATTTTCTAAGAATATTATCACTAACGCAGCAACCTGTGATCTCTTCCACTTCCCTGCACTACCAGGTTCAGAAAAAAAAAGGGACTGTTTCAAAAATTATTTTTCGATATATGTGTACAACTGTATAGAAGTCACACCGCACAGAACAGAGCACAAAGTGCAGTTTTTAAATTTGGCTTCCTGGATCTCTCTGTGTGCCTGGATCCAACAGTGTGCATACCAGGCACTCACACTAAGCAACGCTTCCTTTTTGCTTTCAGAAAAATACAATTACTAGGGCCTGTCACTAGGGGGAAGCACAGTCAAACATCCTTTCTCTGTGCTGAATAACGCTGAAGGTGAATTTCCCCTCCAGTGCACGAAGGCATAAAGAAGCCATCACTAGTTCTTCCTTCACTGCAAATTACATATCTTTTCTAGGCATATCTAGTCATTAAGCATTTGTAAAGTAAAAGCGCCACTTCTCTCACTTATGGCTTACTGTCATGTATATATGCTCTATTTCATGTATTATGATTTCAGTTATGTCCTGCTTTTCACACAGGACTGGTGGGACACTGGTCAAGTTAGCATTTCTAGAATGTAGTTGCACTGGCTTCTGTAAGCATGCAATTACCTTGAACTTTCGAAGCAATTGTTCTATTACTTCTCTTGTTCTCATATGGCTGTTAATTCTTATCTTGGTTTCTGATCCAGAAGCTGGAGTGAAAACTGATGTCTAAGAAACAAAAACAGCAACAAAAGGCTGTGAATATGAGGACTCCTGTACTCAAAAGTTGAGACTCAAACGAATCTAAACCGGTGCAGCTCTGGGATGAAGCGAACTGTCAAGTACATTGTCACTGTTGCTGTGAAGGTACATGGCGTGCTCAGGAGAAGGGAATGCATCCCCCCAGGAAGGAAGGACCACTGTGGATTCTTTGTAGCCCTGACCAAACCGCACTGTTGCTGTATGCACTTGAAACCTGCCTCCCTGGGGCTGGAGGCCAAGGCCCAAGGACGCAGGAATAGCCATATAGGGGGGACCAAGTGGGGAATGTCCCCTCGGCTAAGGTGATGCAGGGTAAGTCCAGAAGCTCATGAGAGGTTTTATTCTGCTCCAGTACCCAAACCTCAGGTGAAGAAAAACTGACTACATCCATACCTCATAGTTGTAGAAGTGGCCATTGATAGAAAATCTGTGAGTTTCTACTTCTGTTCTAGCAATCATGGGGAATTTGGTCCTCTTCCTTACAGCTGCAGCACTGCTGACCGCCCTGGGCAGAGTAGCACAGTCATGTTCCTGCTCGCTCTTGGACTTCAGTGTGTTGCTTTCGTAATATGAATAACCTAGACAGAATGAAACTGCATCAGCATATTGTACAGCTGCACCTTGCTCCTTGCCAATACCAACACAGTAAGAAGGTTCATGGTGGAGGGATTTCTTTTGTTTTACATTTCTGGGAGAGAGTTGGGCATGGGCACACAATGAAGAGCAGTAGGCTGCTTGCAGTGGCCACAGGCAACAATTGCCACTTTTTCTACTTCTTGGGAATGTTTTTTTTTTTTTGGTAAAAACCACAGCCACAGTACACATGATTTGAAAATTTATCAGTACAGCCATATTTTTACCAACCAGTCATATGTCATTATTTCAGCAACATACAAAAAATGGTAAATAGACTGAGGAAAAATTACCTTTACTGAGATCTAATATGCAAAATTATTTCTGCAGTCACAGAACAAAGATCTTAGTGAACACAAGAGCACAGACACTAACTTTTCTCAGAGTTCAGCTTCTCTTCAGTAGATTTCAATGTCTCTCCGCTAATATGATGCAGATCATCAAATTCTCCCCATCGTGTCATTCCCCTGAAATAACAAACCTACATTAACTTAGTAAATTTAATTTATCTTGTATCCAAGCTTCAGATAACACATTCCTATCCCTGTTCAAAACTTTATGGAACACGATTACAGCCTTCAATGTGGCATGCAAAGCGAGTCATTTTAGTTCATGTCATAATCAAATTTCTGTTCATTAAAAAAAAAAAAAAAATGGTGCAATTAGTGATCCCAAACATAACAAAATCCTATTTAGAGCCTGTTGAAAGTTGAAAATGACAGCCCTTAAGTTATTTGCAGTAATTCTTTGCATATTTCATAGCAATGTTGCAGATCGACCACAGGTAGGATGATGTGCAGACACACAGGAAAAAAAAAATACTTGGACATTTAAATAGTCACAGGGCATGTCATTTCTGGAGTATGAAATATTGTAGAGCTTTCCAAACCAGTTCTGTAGGACAGCAGGGATTTCAAGCCATCTCTTGAGAAGAATGCCTGTTCCAAAGATTAACTTTTTCTATGTCTTTATTTCCATAATTCATTGAATAGTCTCTAGCAAAACATCTCTGGCCAGTTAACTGCTCTCACCAAGAATAATCTAGTTTGTAGGAAAATAGTTAAAAGAAGAAGTATTTCCTATAACTAGTCAAAACAATATTCAACTAATTCCAATGAGCACGCCAAACAACTATCTCAGTTTTGTTCCATGCATTTAAAAAGTTCAATTAAGATCAAACAATCAAGCTGTTCTGCATGCCTTAAAGCATGTCAGGGCAGTTTCACATTTCTGTGATCATGAATTAATATTTACTTTAAGATTCGCATCTGCTACCAGTCATACACTCTTGAAAGAATAAAAGGCAAAGAGAAATTTAACTGCTTGACTGGACTGTATCATACAGGACAAATGTAACCGATATCAAGAGACCTACTAAAGGTAAACAAAGAGAACCAGGTTTGCCTCAGACTCGAGTTCATAGCTGCTTACTCCCTGCGAGGTTTCCCACTAATTCCAAGAGCAAGAAGATGACTGTTCCTGGTTTTACTGGAGCTAAGCAGCTGCAATTATGACAGAATTAAACCCACAATTCGAACACATACCTCGTGCAATCTAAGACAACAAATTATTAAGAAAAGGAGCTCTTAAGTACAGAATTTACCAGGGAATCATTCAGGGTAAATATTGGCTCAGCCTCCATATTGCACATTACTCAGCTTCTGCTTGTCAGATGTAATTCCAAATTCACCAGTCAAGGCTTGGGAAAAAGTATTAAAAACAGAAAAAGGAAATGTTCTAAGCACTTACACCATTTATTTATTTAAAGATCTGGGAAATCTAGCAGGATTCAGATCAACATAGAACACTCATAGGCAGCTGTCTGAAGGAACAGCTCATTTGTTTACATCTCTAATGTTTTTTAACATCAGATTTTGCATGGACTAAATATTCATTTCCTGGCTTTAACTTTGCCCTGAGAAGCAATGGCGTCATGCCTGAAACATCTGAGAAAGTAACCTAGCACAGACAATAATTTAGTATTAATCCACCAGCTTTCTGCTTCATGGTATAGAATGTGTACCACTAGGCATTTTTTTCAGGTGCTGCATGTTACTGGATTCTTATTTTTAAAAACATTTTGTGTACATAAATTTCTCAGTGCTTGCATGTGAACAATCAATATAGACAAGAGCAGCTTCCTCCTTCACCTTCTTGACAATTCTCAAGCAGAAAGCCAGAACAAGATGCATCTTTCTGCCCAACAGAGGTGAAAGATCAGTTCATTTACACCTGGTGAAGAGCATCGCTGCACAGTCAACCTGATGTTGCAGCCTTTGGGAAATCCAGGATATGCAACTATATCCCAGATAAGCCATAGCCTTTGAGGCCACCTTCATGAGCTGCCTCAAAACATCAGCTATCCCCCCCTTCTTAATATGTTACCTTTTACTGGGGAACAAGCCCACATTCTCTGTTGACTTCAGTGTTACAAAAGAGGGTATCTGCTTCTCATCTTGAATTTTTAAGCGGATAGGATGTCGAACTCCCCAAAATATTGATAAGATTCCTTCAATAAATGGTTTACTTCCTTCTCGCTGTTGGGGGGAAAAAAGAATAAAAAAGGAGCACTGCATCATAGTACAGCCATAGAAATTCCCTTCAGTTAAACGGGAATACTGTTGTGTTATGCTGACACAGACCTGGAAACAGGTCACAAAGAGAGGCTGTGAAATCTCTGTCCTTAGAGATTTCTAAAACTCAGCTCACTAAAGCTAAAGCTGACCTGACCTAGTGTCAGCATTACTCTGAACAGGAGGCTGGATTAGATAATTCTTCCAGAGGCTCTTTCCAACCAACATTTCCACAATCATAGGCAATTAGAAATCAAATCTTATTTGTTCTGCTTGGGTGAGTAGTTCTTTTGGAACAAAGGGGTAGAATAATTGCTGTTAAAGAAGAAAGACAACATTAATGAAGTCATCCTCACTGAGGTAGGGCAATGCAACAGTGTTATTGATGCCCATTCCTGCTGACAACAAATTTGGTCACTAGGTCTCTGAGTAGAATGAACTGTGACAGACAGTTGAATACTTCCAATTTTCAGACAATATTTGCCCAGAATTTCTCTAAAAGTCCTTCTGGTTCTAATGCAAGTCAAACAGAAACATCTTGTGATGCTGAAGGATATTTAGACTGCTAAGCCAGGGACTGTAGTATCAGAGGCATGACTCATACTTTCATCAGTCCTTCAGCTACACAGACACTTCTGGTCTCCACAGAAGGACATTCCTGGGGCTATTGTTGCATTCTCTGTGCTGAAGGTTCACTTTTGAGGAGAGATAGATAATCTGCAAATCAACTCAAGTGATGGCAGCCCGGCCATTACAAACTGCCTGTTCCAGCTGAAGGGGTAGGGGAGGAGCTGCATGTTGCAGAAAGCTTTGCAGTTCAGCTACCTCCCAGCTAATGAGCTGAGACTTGAGAGGTCGACCCAAAGAATGATTTTCTGTGACTGGGATTGCAAGGAAATCTCACTCAATGATCTCAAATTCCCACTTGTCTGAACTTACCTTTTTCACCTCTCTTCTCACATACTCTTGACTCAGCATTTACTGAGGTGTTTTGATTATAGTGATATATTTCATCTAACATAATAAGGCACAAGGTGTATCCTACATTGTTCAGTCTAACTATGTTAAGCACCAGCACCCATCAGTACTCTTCCAACTATTACTTTATACTTTTTGTATCATTTTCACACAGATCCTTACCTGATCATATGACAACTGCAGATTTTCTTGATCAGAATAGTAAGAGTTATAGACCTTCAGAAGAGAATGGAGCTGCTCTCTAGGATAAAAGACCACAATAAAATTAATCATATTTAAACATCTCTACTACTGTAAAATCTAGGGCTTATGTGGCAGAGTAATGCGCTTTTTTTTTTTTTTTTCCCTTCAATCTTTGTTACCCACTGAACATTTGAATAGGTTTGTTAATTATTAAGTCTTTCAGGAGTAAAATTTTGTCAGGATACTGGGTTGCCCATAAGTTACTTTTTTAAAGACCTGATATACAGAGGAAATGAATTAGTTGGTCTTAGGTGACATTAATAGCACTGCCCTAGAATAACTGGTACTTCGAACTCCTGCTAGAGTGAGGGGGAAGCAAACAGGAACAATGCTCCCATGCAAAATGTTGCAGAAGATTTTAGTTAGGTTACAATTTGTTTTCTCTATGTGATAGTTTTCAATTCATTTTTGTTTTTACATTTATTCTTCATCAAAGCGACTACAAAGACAAAATAATTCAGTTTCCTTCTGCTTGCAACATGACAGCTTTAAGTCTTTACTGAGAGGAGAATGGATAGATATGAAGAAAACATCTGCCTACAAGCCAGAGTTATAACCAAGCCCATTGTATCAGATTCCAAACAAAACTGCTCTACAGTTTAAAGAAGCACAGCATAACCTTCTACTGTGAAAACGCTTCACAGAGCAAATACCAAGCAGTCTATGGGCACACACATTGTGCTTCTACAACATCCCAGCTAGATCACACATCTAACAGCTGTAGTGCTACCAAAACCCACAGTGCTGACACTGCAGCTCACATGGGCCTTGCAGATAGGGAAGAAGCAATAAATACTGTGCTGCACAAATATGAAATGGTGAGTGCTCAGGCACCAGCTCTCTGCAAAAGAGACTTCTGGTCACTGTTCTGTACCAGCAGACAGCGCCGTGCTGTACCACACAAGAAGGTACCCAGGGGAGCACCCTCCTCAGAGCCAGTCTGCTTGAATTACAAGCTGAAGGCTGAGTTTGGTTAAAGTGCTCTGCTTTTTAGTATTGCTTCTGAAGAACAACATACACCACACTGACAGAGCCCAAAGGAGAGCGGAGGAAGCGAGAAGTGCTGTGAGCCATGAAGGAAAAAAGCAAGTCACAGCTCAAGCTAGAAAAGCCTGAACAGAAAACCAGGTGACGAATATTTTCAGTATCAAGAAACATTCTTCTCAGATCAGTTAAACAACAAAGGTTATTTAAACTACAATTCAAGAAGGTAATTTCTACCTGCATGTATAAAAAAATGCAGGTAGAATGGCCAGAGATGCATGAGTTCTGCCTCACTGATGGCGATTAAGAATTAACTGAGATGACTAACAGTCAAGATTGTCTCATGGTCTGACATGCAGTGGTGAGTGAAAACACCAAGCTTACTTACAAATAACATCTATTTTTCTGTACTGTCTAGTATAAAATACCATAACAGAAGTTCTAAAACAAATTAAAGCTTATCTCACAGCAAAGTTACACAGAGACTTAAAGAAATCATCCAAGACCCAGAAGCACTACTAGAGATTCTACACCAATTTCAAGCATAAATAGAAAAACTACGAAAACTGACTCACAGCAGCATCACTGAATCAAATAACACATAGCAACCATGCACAGTAGAAATTAAGTTTTATATACTGCAAAAGCCATTGAGTTCACCAAGAAGATTTCAGATGTAGCAGCATTCTGAATGAGACCATATGCAAAGTATTAAACACTTCTATAAGACATACATTTAGAGATGGAATTAAGAACATAATATTAGGGAATCGGAAACACTGAATGAAGCTTTTTGGGAGAATTTTTCCATGTTTGTTTTCCTGTATCAGTCACAATACACCCACACCCTAGAATACACAAGGCCACTATCACTGGTGACAGTGGCACCTTTATTAGAGATGATGAGCTGAAGAGCAACCTCCCCTAGAAGTATGACCAGCCCATCAGCCATTGCAAAGCAGTTAGGAAGGAGATTTTCAGGGATGAAATGAACACTATTTCATAGTATCTCTTTGCTGTCCAGTCTCCATGACTGCTCTAAACAGATACCTTGCAGTCTTATGTCTGCCCCTTCTTTCCATTTCTATGTATCCAGAGCGTTTGGGCAAAGGCATTTCTGAATGACACTAACTGAACTTGGTAGTGCCCTGCTGCTTGGTGATCTTTGTCCCTCTCTGTGAGAGGGAGCAAGAAGGGTGAAGAGAAGCAGGGCTTTTATTCAGTAGCTAACACTAGGGCAAGGTCTGTACTGCTGAACTCAAACTGCATTCCCCTCTAGGGCTCTGGATGTAAATTATTTACTTCATTAACTTGCTGCAGTTCCCAAAATATATTTTGAGTGGCTTTATCAAGCCTGTTGGGCTCTAAAACCACATTTTCAGCATCCGCCTTAAGTCACTTTGATCTTAAATCCTGGAAATACAGATGTTGAAAGCCCTTTTTCCTCTCACTGTGTTGGAGTAACTCATTCTTGGTTCTGAGTCTTCTGAGCTATGAGGGATTATATTCAGGTCATTCCACCAAAAGTGAAAGTAATAACAGACTTAGATACGAATCAGGCACATGAAAAACACTCATCACACTGGCTAAAGGGAAGCAAGATTAAGCATGTCTTGGCCTCAGACAGGCAAAATCCAGATGCAAAACAAGATTAAGGTGCAAGTAAGAGATCCACATTTTTGATTGACATATGTTGTGATAGACCTGCTGATCTTGCCTTTAAGACACTGAATACTTAAGCCTTCTTTGCTTCACAACCTAATATCTCAAGCAATCATTCCACTGGCAGCTGTTACCTTGTGGGCTTTTGGAAGGTTGAAAGCTGTGGAGGACAGTTCCCTGAGAACAATTTAAGAATACTTAAGGACTTGTGTCTTCCTGTGAGGCCTGTCTTTTAGGCCATGGTGGTTGCAAAGGCAATTGAAATCACAGGCTAAAAGCAAAGTGATTTAGTAAGGGTTGTAAAATGATAGAATTTTATGAGTTGGAAGGGTTCTTTAAAGTTCATCTTGGTCCAACTCCTCTGCAGTGAATAGAAACATCTATGGATACACCAGGTAGCTCAGAGCTCTGTCCAGCCTGACCTTGAATGTCTCCAGGGATGGGCCACCAACCACCTCTCTGGGCAACCTGCTCAGTGCCTCACCACCCTGATTATAAAAAGTTTTCTTACAGCTGTCTAAACCTCCCCTCTCTTAATTTGAAAGCATTTCCCCTTGTCCTACCACAACAGACCCTGCTTAAGAGTCTGTCTCCTTCCTTCTTACAGACATGCTTTAGATAATGAAAGGCTGCTCTCAGGTCTTCCTAGAGTCTTCTCTTCTCCAGGCTGAACAGACCCAGTTCTCTCAGCCTGCCCTTGTAGGGGAGGCATTCCATCCCTTGGATCATTTCTGTGCCCTCTTCTGGGCCCAAACTAACAGGTCTGTATTTCTCCTGTACTGAGGACTCCAAAATATGGACATAGCACTCCAGGTGAGGTCTCATCAGTGCAGAGTAGAGGGGAGGATCACCTCCCTTGACCTGCTGGCCATGCTTCTTTTGATGCAGTCCCACATACGGCTTTCCGGGCTGTGAGGGCACATTGGTTGCTCACATCCATCTTACCAAACTTCTTTTAGTCCAAAAAAGGATTAACACATGCACTAGCCTACTAGCTCCAGACTGAGTCCGCCTAGCACACCTTGGCTGAGAGGACTCCAAGACTGCCCTAACAAAGAGGCAGATAGAATCACTTGGAAAAGACCTTAAAGATCATCAAGTCCAACCCTAACCTAACCATCCTACCCTAACAACCTTCCACTAAATCATGTCCCTGAGCACCACATCCAAATGGTTTTTAAACACATCCAGAAATGGTGACTCAACCACCTCTCTGGGGAGCCTGTTGCAGCACTTAACAACCCTGCCTGTAAAGAAGTTTTTCTTGGTATCCAACCTAAAACTCCCCTGAAGCTCTTGAGGCCATTTCCCCACATCCTGTCACCTGCGAGAAGAGACCATGCTCTCACTGTAAGCACCTTTCAGATACTGGAAGAGAACAATCAGGTCTCCCCTCAGACTCCTCTTCCCCAGACTAAACAGCCCCAATTCCTTCAGTCTCTCCTCATAGGGCATATTCTCCAAGCCTTGTTGCCATTGGACCTGCTCCAGCACCTCAATGTCCTTTCTGCACTGAGATACCCAAACTGAACACAGTACTCAAGCTGGGGCCTCACCAATGCTGAGTACAGGGACAGGATTACTTTGCTACTCCTGCTCACCACACCATTCCTGATACAAGCCAGGATGTCATTGGCCTTCTTGGCCACCTTGGAAAACCACTGGCTCACATTCAGCCGACTGCCTAACATTATAACATGGTCCTGTTCCATCAGGCAGCTTTCCAGCCACTTCTCTCCAAGCCTGTAGGGCTGCATGGTATTGTTGTTAGAGTCTCCTCGCAGTTCTGCTGCCAGTAAAGTCAGCAACTCCATGGCATTGCCATGGTGTCCCTTATAGTGTGCCTTTGTGATGACAGTCAAACACAGCAATTAATTAAAGCCAGCACTAAGTAACTGGAAGAACTATGTAGTGACAAATCAAGAAGAGGTTAACATACAGTGCACTTTTACTAGTTTCTTCAGTAATGAAGGCAGGATACAAGGGAGCAGTTAGGTCAAGCGCCCTCATGGAAAACCACGAAGAGCACACTGTATGTTCACTAATCCTGTAAGGTTTGCTTGTATCCTCCTCTCACCTGAGACCTATGCATTTACCCATAGATTTTTATAGCAGTTATGCTTAAAGACATTATGATTTTTTTTTCAGCCAGGTAAATGCAAATTCCATTCTGCAATCCCCAAGAATCAAACTTGGCACATCAGCAGAATTTGCATGGTATGACTGGAAGAAGAGCTGCATAACTGCCAATTCAAGGTGCAGAAGGAGGACAATAGCCTGCAAATTCCGTTGGAAGCAAGTCTGAATGCACATTAAATCTACTAGTGAATCCTGAAACACTTTCTTCCCACAGCCCAAGGCAAGGAAACTTGAACAGTAGTTGTAACCATGACTAACACAGAAGGGTGTTGACCTGGTTCATCTGGAACGTTTCACAGAATCACAGGGGTTGGAAAGGCCCCATGGAGATCATCTAGGCCAACCCCCTGCAAAATCCCTGGAGTAAGTTGTGCACAAAAATGTCCAGGCAGGTTTTGAATACCTCCAGAGAAGGAAAATCCACAGCCCTCTGAGTAGCCTTTTCCAGTGCTCAATCACCCTCACAGGAAAAGTTCTTCCTCATGTTTGCATAGAGCTTCCTGTGTACCAGTTCGTGTCCATCGCTCCTTGTTCTGTCGCTGGCCATCAGCAAAAAGAGCCTGGCCTCATTCACTTGACGCTCACCCATTAGAAATTTGTAAGCATTCATACGATTGCCTCTCAGTCTTCTCTTCCTGAGACTGAACAGTCCCATTTCCAATTTCCAAACATTTTTGTGTACCAACTGCATGAAAACTAACACAGACTAATTACCTCTGACAAAAAAGAACCAAAACATTATTTATTAAAAGCAGTAGCAGCATAAAGAGAGCAGCTGTTTAGGAAGAAAGGGAGGGATGCATCTACTGCCTTCATACTTTGGACAGAGCTCTAATGATCCTCCTTAAAAAGGGAGAAATCGACACCACTGTTTATAACCCATATTAAGGTTCCGATGTTAATACTTAGAGCAGCATCAGAAATTCTACCACAAGCTCCATCCTTGGGAACATTTAGCTAGCTTCTTCTTTGAAAGGAATGTCAGGAGGGATGGAAATGATATTGCATAAGCTGCCATATATTCCAGTTCTTGTGTTCTTGACAACATGGGGAAAAGCCATCCCCAAAAAAGGTGATGGAACCACACACTGGGGGACTCAGGCAATATTAGGAAAATCACTAACAAACATTCAACTGTAGAAAGGCATCTCATGTAAAACAGTTCATGTGTAGTTCCAAACCTATTCTAACTAAGTTAGAGAACTACTACTCACAACAGAACGAAGCTGACAGCCTAATACATCTTGTTCAGTAACAGAAACTTCACCATCAGGAGCTAGAAAACAAATTACGTGCTTCAAGCACATGGAAGTCATGTTAAACACTGGAATCCACACTCCATTTCAACAGTTTTTCAGGACAGAAGGGTCTTCTTTCCTAATTTTAAATGTTATTTCAGTAACCTGTAAAAGTGCTGTTCTAACTAATAAACAAAATTCACAGACCAAGAGGTTTTGTGCTTCAATTTTTGAAATCCAAATAAAAGACCTTTTTGTTCTATCAGTGCTTCATAGAAAGTAAGCTGTAGGAACTGCTGCTGCTACAGGACTCCTTTAGTGAATAAATATAGAGCAATGAGTAAAGCAAAGTTACTGTATTTTTAAATTCCGTTTTTAAAAATTTACCTGGTTATAAACTTCTCCTCATTAATGGCAACAGAAGGAAGATGCTGTGCTTTCATAGTCACTTTCTTCATTTATTCAGAAGAGATGAAACTAAACAAAAGGAAAAAAATGTTTTCACTAATTCTAATAAAACTCTGAATGGTAAGCACAGCAACAAAGCCTTAGTTTTGCAAAGCGAAAGCAAGTCAGACACTGAAGCTAAAGGCTAAACAAATCATACTTGAGCTACTTTGTGCATAGCCTTAATACCCAAATATTTTCCACCCCTAGGAAAAACGCCATAGGTCATTCTCACCAGGTATATCACAGTAGTTTAAATCCTAGGTCCAACACACGCCATTACTTTTTCCAGTAGTTTTAAGAATACTCCAGAACTCCATGACTATTACTCAGTAGACTGAAACCCATTTACTGCTAAGGATTCATTTACTAATTATGGATAGAGCATTGCCCAAGGTCACACAAAAAAAGTGACTCAGCAAATCACCCTTAACTAGGTTTGTGAGACCAGACAAGAGAAAAAGCATTGATCATAGGCAGAAACCTGCAGCACACAAAGAAACCACCTGAAGTATGAAGTATTAAAGCCAGAACAAGGCTATAATTAAAGTGATGTAGCAATACAATTTACAGATCTCCATGTACTGATTTCAGCACACTGTGCAGGCAAAAAGCCAGACTCACGATGCTCCAACAGTGCATTCTTCAATAACATAATTATGGAGTCTTGGCTGCTTTCTTTCACCCTCAGGTATTAGAATAAAAGGTAAACTGAGGAAAGTAACAGAAAATCAGGATTGACAACTGATAAGACACTAAAACAAAAATATCTTAGTCTCAGCCCAAGAAGTAGTAAAAAGGGGAAAAAAAAGGAATCACAATGCAAGAAGTACAATCTCCATAGACTGCATTAATTTCTACTTTAATTTCTCTCTAACTGAAGCATGGTGACAGAGGAATCTACCTATTATCACTCATCGTCCATTAGCACTTATGCCAGGAGAATGTCTCCAGCCTGATGTCAGATCCCAGAACCAGCCTTGTAAAAGATGTCTGAAAATCACTTTGTCTACCGTAAAGGCAAATAGCATCCAGGAAATCAAGTTAGAAAGGAAATTAAAGCTTGTAGAGATCATAACTAGCTAAGTAAAAGTGACTACTTTCTGAGCAAGTGATTCCACACTAGCAAGGTTCTTCTTTAAAGTTAGATGTCAAGGTCATCATAGTCTAAGATGCATGACTTGTAAAAACTTCTCTTTTGTCCTCATTTTTCCCCATTATCTTTCACCCACAGAACATACAGGAGAGGGTTGTCGTAAGTTATTACACAACCTCTGAAATCAAATGAGGTCGCTACTGAAATGAACTTTACATGAGCAGCAGGAGAAAGCATTCTATAAATCCACTGCGTCTTGGGTGACATCCAGGTGAAGGTGAAATTAATCCACTTACTGAAAGGGCCCAGGGATGAGTTTATATATAAGGAAGAGATTTCTGCACTCTAGTCTGATGTTGCTGTTTCTTGGCCTCTCAGATGAGTTTAGTAACCATCAGCCACACCTTGAAATCTGCTTTTATGCAATTTACTAATACCTCTAACTGAATCTGCTTCCCACTCTGAACTAATTTCAAAATAGTTTTGAAAGATGCAGAGGCGTTCACATACACTGGCACCTGAATACATGGGCATGCACTTGAGTGTCTTTCCGTGGGACATGAAAAAACTTGTGAAGAATAGCAGCGAGCTCAGGCACCGTTAGCCAGAGCAACCACCCCAGTGAGCTATGGCACTGCTTCTTGCTCAGTGCTGAAGACCTCCCAGTACAATTTGACTGTAAAGTGATTCATATGAATGAAAAAGTGACCTTAACAGACTGGAGTGATTTTTTTTTTTTTTTTTTTAAATACAAAAAGGAGATTACCAAAGAACCACCTGTTCTGCTAGGTAGTGACAGGCTCTTACTCAAGTATTTGCTTTAAAAATCTTAAGCATACCTTAAATCTGCTGGCTGCCCCAAAGCACTGACAGTGAGACCAAATGAGATCATTCAGTGACGGAAATAACCAACATCTCCCCTTTTCCTGTCTCACAGTCCAATGAGCTGTTAACTGCAGCTGGCAAAGATGCTTATTGCCTCCCCCAGTCAACCCCATCTAAGCAGCTCTGCTCACCAGCATCACACCACACACCTCTATCTGCCCACCCCAGAGCAGCATGAGGGATGGGGCAGCCCATGCCCGTGGGCTCCTCAACAGCTGAGCAAACTCGTGCGCTGCCATCCAATCCTTTCACAGAGCACGAGTTCCCTTTGGGATCTGCACGTGTCTGCAAGCTATATTTCTATAATTTGTTCTTTATGCATGCCAGTAGCAACATTTAAGTGAATAAATATCATTAGAGCATGATCAAAGTGTGTTAATTTTCCACCTTTCTCAACAATGTATAGCTATTGCTATACATGGCACCTATCCAATGATATCTCCTGAATAACTTCCCATCAGACATTGCCTCAGAGAGGCAAGATTTTGAAATCCGGACCTTGGAAGGACCAACCTAAGGCCTGACACCTAATGAAGAAGAAACTTAATTATTGGGAGAAGGCTGACTAAAACCTAAAATACATTTGTCAGGAAACAAAAGACAGAGAAGAAAAATAGGAGTAAATAAGAAATGGTGCAGATGCAAAATGAGAACCTCCAGAGGAAGACAACAGCTATTAGAGAAGTGCACAAAAATGGGAAAAAAAAAAAACTACTTCGCAGTCCCTGAGCTGTGAGAGGACCAATAGCCTCACGAGGGTACATGACCAACCTGACGAGAAAATAGATTTTCCTTTTTTATAATATTTATGTCTTAAAGGAAAAGTCAGAGTCTTTGGAGAGATAAGAGAACTAGTTTAATTTCATAACATGCCACAGTTTTAAAGTTCTTGGCTTTAGGAAAACAGCAAAAAGACAGGGATGGAGGAACAACAAAGGTAAGAGCAAAAGTCCTCATAGATTTTTATACCAGGATAAAAGGATGCAGCTGCAGGAGAGGGCACCTGATCCACATGTCCAGCTGAGCAGCAAAGCAGCATTTTAGTTCATATTTAATAGCCTATGGAAGATGCTGTGCGCAACAGACTAGACGTGCTTCTTGACACATTCATAGATTAAGATGGGGACTGCAGAGCAAGCAATGTGCTACGCAGAGCTCCTAACACTGCTGAGAAGAACTGGAAACACGAAAACCCCTAAGGATTTCTGTGTATTTTGAACCTGTACTTTCTAAAGCTATTCAAAAAAATATTGGAAGTCAGGATTGTGTGAGTGTTCTCATTTTCCTGTATAAAACCCACAAAGTCCAGCTATCTATTTATCACACAATCATATTTACTTGGCTATCAGCAAAACTTACATATAAAATTTTGTACAGCACAAGGAGCTTTGCACTGTAAGAATATCAGCAATGCAATAAACTCAGCACTCTGGTATTTAGGCCATTCTTGAACCGCTACCTATTTCTAAAAGAGTTATCATCTCTTCATATTCATAGGAAATCCAGTATCAGCAGAACATTGCTATATTGCTGATCAGTCTTTATCTAGTCATACACTTTAATTCTGTGAGTCTTTATATATATATACATACACACACACACATATATCATTCTTTTTTAAATTACACGTCCTCACCACCAAAGATCTAATTACAAGAAATTACTTATTTTGAAATAAGTTCGAATACTTGCATTTTTTCCCCACTAAATACAAGGTGATTTTGTTTGCCTTAAGTCTTCCAGTTTCTCTTACATTTCGTTCTAAAATTCACTATTACAGAACAGCACGCTGCACTACTCAAATATGCAAAACACTGCAACCCCTCCACTCGTGCAGCTCCAGACCAGCTTTGAGTACTGAAACCAAAAGCAAGCTGGTGTTAATCGGTGAACAAGGCCCCTCAGCACCCAGAGGCTCCCTCCCTTTGAACAGTGACTGCACAGCAGGGCTTCACCAAGTGTACTTCAAACATGACTCACCCATTGCTATGAAGTTCCTTTCTATTTCAGGTCACTCCAGAAAGATAGCCTCCGCTCCCCACACAGAGTAGCCAAGGTCACCGCACAGTCTTTAAAACCTTACTAGTGACTGAGCGACAGGCAGCATGGGATCTGCCTCCTTTATCACAAGGGACTAAGGCAAGTCGCCTTGAGATTTAGGAACTTTTTCCAAGAATTTCCAACTGACTGAACATTTCTTCTTCCCTCTGGCACCTTAATTACGTGAAAATAATCTGACTCAAGTTCTGGATGACTGCGAAGGACATTGCTTTCCCCTGACGCTGCAGGTCACGCAGCTAGCAGAACAGCTCCAGCTTTTATGTTTCACTTACCTGTGCACACGAGCAGAACAGAAGCAAAGGAGTACCACATACCTTGGAAGAAGCATGACAGCATGGCATGAGCTAACAGCTACCTCTGCTTCTCTACGGAACTCACTCACGGAGCTGCTAATTGCTGTTTTGCTCACCAACCTGGGAGTGCTGGAAAGCCAGGACACTCCCCACACCTCAGTGCATGTTGGGAGCATTCACCTTCCCACTTTCCTTCCTCCCCGCAGCTGAGGGAGTGCTCCCTGAGTCACGGCTGCACCTACGGGAGGCTCCGGTTAACACTTTAATCACTAACCCCATAACGAGAGGCAACCTGCTGGCGCTCAGTAATTATTTGCTGACAGAGCACACCCTGAAACATCCTGTGCTGAAAGCACTGCTAGGCTTTAAACTCTTCTCATGTTTGTTTTCTACTCCACTGGTTAATGTGGTTGTTCCTTCTCTGGATATACCCAAATCTCTAGTGTTTAGTGAAATAAAGAATGCATACAAACAGGTGATGTCTAAGTATAAATATATGGATTTATAACATTATGACAAAAAACTGTGACAACACATCTTGATCATTTCATCACAAACAGCTCTAAACTCAGCTCCTTGCTTACCCACTTAATATTCTTATGAATGTTATTCACTGGGCAAGAGAAAGCACCATTACTTAACTTAATGGCTAAACAGCTAATCACATAAGCAGATGTTTAAGCTGTAAAAAAAAA